TTCATCACATCTGGTATTGTCTTACTACCTCTCACAAAAAAGGTAGGTACCTCTCACCACTCACTCACAGTTTTTCAGCTGAAAAAAGGCTAGACTAATAAAACTAGCTGAGATAACTGTATTAGCATTTGTCTGTTTATTTAATAGACTGACTGTACATTTCAAGCCACATCCTTTCTGTCGTCTCATCACTTGAATTTGTTGTAGTAATGTAAGAATGCTGAGCAGCGCACTTTGACTTGATTAAAAATAATGGTTTCGAATGTTTGGACATTGCGCAGCGCATCCAGTGTGTGGTGGCCTTTGCCACTCTGGAGCCCTGAGACTGCAACGTTTAACCAAAGAAAAGAGGCCGGTAACACTTTACTTTTAACCCTGCTATATAATAATGACACTACCATACCATGAACAGGTCACAGCAGATGTCATATGCTGTTATGACACATTATGTTCAGGTATCATGACAGGTCATGACAGATGCCATAAGGTCTGATGTTATGACAGTTTACCTCACTACTTTTTGCTGTGCACTCTAACTGCCGTCATGACCTGGACGTTATTCCGTCTGTCATGACAACTGCCGATATCACTGAATATACGTCATGTTCATGACATAGATATGTCAATGTCTTGCAGCAGGGTTTCAAGTAAAGTGCTGCCGAAAGGCTTTTTTACCAATATAATAACCAATCAAGCCAAAAGAGAGTTCAACTGAAGTTCAGATTCAGAAAAAGTCTTTTTCTTAAATTGGTAAATTATTTCTTTAAACTTACCTTTTGGAATGTGGTTGTTAAGCTCAGTTGTATGACAGTATTTCTATTCTGTGATTTAACACTTTTGGTATGATGTCTTTGGGTAGTTTGGAGTAAAATGCATTATTCATTCATATTCATTTCCGTCATTATGTCTTTTTTTTCTAACCTGAAGATATGCTTCGCCTCTCCACTGACAGATGGAGAATCTTTAACATGGGCATGGCAGAAAGGAACAGGAACGTGTGTGTGTGTCGGGGAACGTAATGAAAAGAACCCGGAGTTGGAAACCTTGAGGGAGAAAACCAGAATTAGAGCTGTGATTAAAAATTTGAATGAGGTGGAGAGTTCAGAAGCAGACAGAGGTCTAGAGTTTCATCCCATCACCTGACAGAGAGAAAGAGAGAAAGAGGATAAGATAGAGAGAGGTGGGGTAGGCGAATGAAGCACTGGAGAGATCTGTACTGCAATTACTCAGCGCGAGGTATGTGACAGATTTCCTATAAGAAAACTGCTGGAACGTGTACGGTTAGCAATTGAACTGGTTAATATGAAATAATGGCCTCCTTCCTTAAACAACGGAAAGAAATTAAACTGAAATTAAATTCCAAAGATCTTTAAAGACTCAGTCAGATATTTTAGATGCAGGTCAAGCTCAGTCCTTGACTACGTGCTGAATTTTCGACTGAGAATTATCATTAGTCAAGGACAGAACCAATCAAAACTGGCCTGAATCTGGGTCGGAAACTGAGTTTAAACTCTGTCTACATTGCAGAATATTATATCTTGGTAAGTGAAATCATCTTATGATTACTGTGTAAAAGTCAGAGACCACCATTTATTTATTTCATTTAAAATAGAAATGGCCATTGAGTACAAGTGATTCATTTTCAATGTCAGGTAAAAAGCAGAAAACAGAAGATTAGCCTCAACATTTACACATACTATCCATTCTTCCAGTATTTATTGTGTCCACGCTTCACCTATCTTACAGCTTCCATTTGTTTCAGGAGACTCACTTTCAGTTTCTCAAAGAAATCTACGGAGATATCTCCGAAGTTCAGTCTTAGAAGTTGCTTGCACTTTCTGCTTCTCACAAGCCAAGTAGAAATAAACAGTAGAACAGCAGAAATAAGTTAAGTAATGTCATTATATTCTTACAACAATCTCAAAAGGAGAAGTGTAAGACTACAGAAATATAGACCAGCTTTAAGATGATTTCACTTGCCATGATATAGTTTCTTCCAGTACAATGACTGGTTTGACAGGTGTTGCACAGCGCATTGTTAACACATGAAGAAAACATCACACAACCTTATATATTCTCCAAACAGTAAACAGATACCGTATTATCCACTTATCCAGTTGGTAGAACAACCAAATACACTTCACAAAGTGAGGCATGGTCCTAGAAGCTCACTGATGGGAAATCGAATTGGTGGTAAAGACACTGGTTCAATGGGTGCCAATGACAGAGGTGAGGTAGGCAGTAATGACACTGGTCAGATATTCAGGAATGACAGTTGTCCACCAGGCGGTAATGACACTGGCCCAATTGGCAGGAATGACAGAAGTCCAACAGGTGGTAATGACACAGGCCCAATAGGTGGGAATAACAGCTGTCCGGCAAAAACGGCAATGACACCAATCCAATAGGCGGGAATGACAACGGTCCAGCAGGTGGTAATGAAATTGATCCAACAGGCAGGAACGCCAGCAGTCCAATAAGTGATAATGACAATGGTCTAATCAGCATGGAAGAGGTCCAGTGTGAGGGAATGGCAGTGCTCCAAAAGCTGGTAATGACATTTGTCCAATGGGTAAGGGTATTGTTCTTCATTGTTATTGCCACCACTGGACAAAGGTCTGAGTGACCTCATTTCCTCCTTCCCTCTTACAGTGCTGTGCAAAAGCCAGAGACCACCTTTCTTTATTTCATTCCCAGTCAGAACCACATCAAACCATTAAGTACAAGGTATTTAAATTTCACTGTCAGGAAAAAGGAAACATATTTAAGACAAAATTGCTCTTAACAAATAAACATCATTTTTTCAGTATTTACTGTATCCAAACGTTTATTTTTCCACACCTCCAAAGTTCAGTCTTAGTAGTGGGCTTAGCGTTTTCTGCTCCTCACGCTCCATGGAATCCCAAACGCATTCAGTGATGCTGAGGTCCAGAGCAACCAGCAAACTAGCTGAGTTGTCTTCTCACAGTGGAAGAATCTGAAGCAGCTTGATTTTCTCCTCTCTCTCAAAGATGAAAGCTTTAAGTGCTGTTCATCTGATGGGGGGCAGTTTTGGTGTCTACCACGTCTTCCAGGTGGTTGTTAGAGTCCCATTTTCACTGTAGCTTTTAATCATTTTTTGAAGTCCAGTTTTGAAAACGAAAGTGGATCATTATATCTAATCTCTTCAGAAGCATCTCCTAAAAATGAATAACTTGTACTTAATGGCTGTTTTGACTTCCTTAAATAAATGAAGGGCGGTCTCTGAATTTGCACAGTATTGTATGTCCATGCATAGCTGACACATAACCAGATCCTAATGTTGGGATAGACTAGATGGACCTGAAGTGATTTTGAACAGTATATATAGAAAAGTATTTTCAAGACAGCTTCTCAATTTTAACAATAAAATAGTCATTTTTTTCAGGTATCACCAAGCCTTACTGTCTTCAGACAATGGGGTAATAGGCAAAAACAACTGCAGCATACGCGCTACGACTGACTGCAGCCGAGCTGTGGCAGGCAGGTGGGACTGATCCGTCCAGACAGCAGATTCACTCTCTCCTGACCCTGTCCTGTCAGCATCAGCAATACAAACACATCCAGAGCACAGCAGGGCTCAGGTCACAAGACCGTAGCTGCTGCTATGAACAAGAAATACGGCCTGGTACATAAAAAGAATTAAATTTATGTTCAGCTTTGGACGCGTCTCACATTTATCTGTCAGAGCGTTTGAGGCTGAGGGTGTTTTTTTTCTCCCCCAGATGAGACTGAGTGAGAAATGTGTGGTCTGTGCTGAGCTAGGCTGGGCTGGGTTGGGCTGCCAAAAGCATCCGTGAAGGATTGACTGAGGCAGCGCTGTCAGAAAGGCCATACTGGTCAAAACTGTGAGACAGGTCTTTCAGTAAACTGTGAGCATTCATCTTGTAGGAGACGTAAGCGTGGCTGCAGGGGATGGAACAAGCAAAACAAGCACAAGGAGTCAGCAGGGGAACTGAAAGGCAAGGAGAAATTGAACAATGATCCTGTGTTCAAGAATACTGGTTTATACATTGCAAACAATTCCACAGACTTTATTAGGCCAAGTCAACTCAATGTACTGCATGCAGACAGGACCACGCAAAAGTCAGAGACCACCCTTACTTTCCAGTCAAAACGGTTAGTGATTTGTTTTTGAATGAAGCCAGTATTAACTATGAACTGATTTAAATATATTATGCAGCACCTTCTGAAAAAAAGACTTGATTAACATTTATTCTACAGCGAGATAACAACCCTAAGCACACTGTTGAGAAGCTGTTGGTGTTCTCAGGACAATGGACTGGCCACCCCTGAGGCCAGACCTCAACACAATTGAAAGTGTTGGGATTACTTGGATTGTGAGCAGATAACGACACCAACTTCTAAGACTGAACTTTGGAGGTGGGGCTGCATATTTATTAGACACACTAAAAGCAATTCTCCTGAAAATCAAATGGAAACCTGAAATGGTTTAGCAAGAATAAACACTGAAAAATGATATTTTATTTAGTTAAATATGTTTTTCACTGGAAATTAAATACATGAATGGGTGGTCTCTGATTTTCGCACAATGTCGTACACTGCGGTCTCTTAAGCAAAACTGAAAGCACGGTGCAATTCGATAATGAGTATTTTAGAGAAAGTGAGGATTCTAAACTTTCATTTCATACCACATTTGTGTTTGTGTGTACGTAGTGGAGATCATTTATTATGAATTGAATTTGATGTTCTGTTTTGTAGAAGGAAAAACATTTACATTTTTGCCATGTTTTGCCAATTCTTGATATCTGAACAGATGGAAAAATTCACAAGTGCATATGTTCCCCTGTGCATTCAGAGTGTGAATCAAATGTAAATGTAATTCACTGCATAACTTTCTGAGTAATTACATAACTACGTCTGACTAGCAGAGCAAAACAAAAGTAACAACTCTCAACTCTAATCAGGAAAATGATCATTCAGCCTTTCTATCAGTAAACTGATTCACTGTCCTCTCTCACCTTGTCTGGCGGTTTTGAAGTTGAAGGTCTGGAAGCCACCAGCAAGGGCAGACGAGTCGATGACGTCCACTCCGTACTCGCTCTGGCTCCTGCGGTACAGCGTGACAGATATGATGAGAACCGCTACGGCGATGACCCCTGCGGCCAGGCCGGAGTACAGCGCCACATCGTTAGAGCCTTCCATACCTGTGAAAGGACAGTGGAAGGTTGTTATTTGCACTGGCAGTCAGATGTGGCACATAATCAACTGTGAATGAAAATGACCCGAGATTCCTGGCTGTTAGAGATTAGCGATTTTGGGGACACCTGTCTGCAAAGTGAACAAGAACAGTTGAAGTTAACAGAAAAAGGATTTGCAGAGGGGCAGATTACTTGTAGGGGAATTCTACTGAGTTTTCACTGAATTTCGGCAAAATTCAATGGTTGAGATGTGAACAAAGTTACAATTAAACAGCGATAATAATGCAGAATTATCGACGATACTCTGTGAATGACGATAACAGAAATGATCATGATAATGATAAAATATGGTCACGTTGCCCACATCTAATGTCGAGAAGGGCAAATAAGTTCCGAAAGAAAACTTCTTTGGGAATTTTTTTTTTCAGATATACCACTAATTTGCCATGTTTGATGATAGTTTTGCAATTAGGTTTTAACTGCAAAACTATCATAAAACAAAGTCTCAGACATCACTCAGAACCATTTCATATAATTTCATCTGGGGTGGCTTTTAAAGAGTCAGATATCTGGTTCCTTTCACTACGGCAGTAAAGAACTCTGACTCAGTAAGTATCTCTAGAATGGACCATTCCACTCTTCAAAATTCAAACCAATCACTAACATTTTGCAAAATCAGTAGAATTCTTCTTTTATGAAAAACTATCTTGAACTCAAAGATCAGCTGGCAAAGGAAAGTGCTACCAAACAGGGGTCATGGTTGAATTGCTGGAGCTGAAAAAAGGCTGTCACTTTCGGTGCTTACGGTTAGTCTGGCAAATCTCTCAGACACCTGTGCAAACCGAACAGGTGCAATATGCACGTGTTTAGCGGCGTATCAAGACATGCTTGGCACGCTTTGGCGTTTCGGGAGGTGCGAATTCCAGGATTCTCACAACTTTAATCAGAGACACAGTGGCGTGCCAGCGCCCCACGCCAAGCTACATCTGTTCAGCTGCCCGAACTGCCTGTGGCCCATTCGACCTCTGCGTCGCCAGGACTTTGCCAGAGGACGAAAAGGGCGTCGCTCAAGCTGGGCGAGGGCGAGACTGGCTAACCGTTTATAAACTCGCCTCACTGTATTTAAAGGCTCCTAATGTGCTGATGCCGCCTTGGAGTTTAGCCGCCAGCTTCATCCGCTTGACCTGACGGAAGCGGAATTTAGAAACCGGGGCCTCGGGGTGGGGAAGTGACCACATGTTCGTCGCTTAACAGCTGCTTGGGTTTTATTGAGCCCTTTTTACCCTCTTTGCCGCCCTGCTGCAGTAATGACATTTTAAAATGGTATTTAGAGACGGGTAGCGGGGGAAACACCTGCTGCCGCAGCGTTCTAAAATGCGCCGAGAGGTGATTTGTAGGGTTAACGCAAAACACAGGGGAGGATATGAAGACATGCTATGGTTGCTTAAGTGAGCTAATGTGCAGTAATTGCACCCCATTAGCTCGTCTAAATATAGTGCGTGCTCACGCGCCGTATCCCATCACTCATCCTGCCTAATCTGAAATCCACTGTGAGTGGCATGCCGAATCCAGAGCCGGATCCGACGCTCCCAACAGCAGACGGGGAATGGAAGTGACAGGGATTATGGGAAATGGCTGTTTGGGATGAATGACAGGTGTCTGATAAACAAAATGTGATGGATGGATGCATAAAATGAACTGATAGCTACAGTGCTCAAAAAAAAAAAAGTTACAGCTATTTATTCGCTCTGTCGTTCCGCTAGATTAATCAAACGTCATATTTGACAGATGTGGCTGCAGATGCTTAGCAGAGATACTCAATTATCCCCAGCATGCTTTCTTCTGGAAGAGTGACACCTGAGGAAAACAAACCACTAGCAGGTATCCAAGTGTGTATCCGAGCAGGTGAACGCAGGATTTTGCAACGATTCAAAGAGAAAGATAAGCTGATTAAAGCCCTGTAACAGGGCGCGGCGACACAATTTAAGCTTGTGTTGTCGGGTTTAATTTAATCTCTACAACACAGGACAAGAAAATGGTGGTAAGGGCAGCATTCGTGAAACTAACAACACATAAACTTATACAGACATTAATAAAGGCTTATTCGGACACTTGCAGAGGTGAAATGCCTGACAGTTGTTAGAATAAGCCTTTATAAATGCTTATGTAGGTTTATGTCAGTTGTTACGACAGGCTTATGCAGCTTTTCGAATGCTGCCCTTCAGTAAAACGTCACCGAAATACTGAACAGTTCCCTCAGTCAGTGTAATGGTATGCATGGGATATAAAAGGCAACAACAGTGGTGATAGGAGGCAACCCCGCCGCAGGAGCCTGATACTATTTGAAACTATTTATTTTTTCATCGGGTCTCTCCTTCAAGCAGATATCAGCAGTGTTGCTTTTGCTGATTCTGGAAATGGGATTATATATATGAAATATGAGGAAAGAGACTCACTCTGAGGCTTAACATCATGCAGCATCTTCCCATCTGCAGAGAGAGAGATAGAGAGAGAGGAGAGGGGAGAGAGCGAGAGAGAGAGAGAGAGAGAGAGAATTAGAGAGCACCCCCGTATCAGTTAACTAAAGCACTCTGTGATTCAGATCATGTGGTGGAGTCCAACTGCTGGCTATGCCAACATCAGCTGGAGATAATGATGCATAGCATCATTACCATGGGGACGTACTGACAGATGGCGCTGAGACACTCAGGCTATGCTACGCTTTGGTTCTCCCCTTCACCCACAGAAGGAGGGGACCAGAGAAGAACTTCTCAGAACAGCCCCTGTGGAGTAGCTGTGGAGCTATGATGCTTAGCCTCCATTTGCAGGCTCCGCGTGGAAGTGCAGCACTGCGCTGCTAGCAGGCCAGCATGGTTTTTGAGCAGAAGGCGGCCTTTTCTTCTCCAGTATCACATTTACCACTGTGGTTTGAGGATCGTTGTAGCACTCATATCCATATGTATTCTATACTAACACTGTGCTATTCTGAGAATGTTTTACTAACCAGGTTTAAAGCGATGCAGCATGCTTTCTCTCTGTCTGTCCAGTGGCAATGATAGAGGCTGGGGGCATGATATGTACTGTACTTGATGATGATCATAGTGCAATGAAGACTGTGATATGAACAAGCAGTACTGTGGAAAAGTGAGGGACCTTCATTTATTTATTTATTTATTCATTTAATTTCCAGTCAAAATAGCCATTAAGTACAAGTTACTCATATTATACCAGCAGAAAACATGTTTACACAAAAGACTGAACAACTAAATATAATAACATGTTTTTATATTTATTTTTAAGTGTGCCCAACTTTTGTCTTCACTTCTGTCGTTAAAGGAGACTTGCTTTCAGTTTTTTTAAGGATATTTTTTTAAAAGTCTTAAAAGCTGGTTGTACTTTTTGCTTCTCACAATCAAGTAATCCCAAAGACATTCAGTGATGTCGAGGTCTGGACTCTGGGCTGGTCAGTCCATTGCTCTGAGAACAGAGGCAGCTTCTTTGTTCAGCAAAGAACAATGCTACACATCCTTTCAGACCCATAGAGCTGAGTTGTCTTCTCACAGTGGAAGGATGGACAGAAACACCTGTGGCTGTTTTCAGAGCTTGGTTTTCTCCTCTCTCTCAAAGATGAAAGCTTTCATAAGGACAGTTTTGGTGGTCTACCAGGTCTTGCAGGAGGTTGGTAGGAGTCCCATTTTCACTGCATCTTTAATCATATCTGAAATCCAGTTCTGGTAACTCTTGTGTGTTTTCGACTGTCCTCTTCCTTTTGTAAGTAAACTCTCTTATAAGAACTGTTTCTTGAAAAACTTCTATTTCATGGCTGTTTTGACTGAAAAATAAACAAACGCACACTGGTCTTTAATGTCTGCACAGTACTGTAGATGGCGGTAAAAGTAACATGTCCATGGTGAAAAACAGAAAACAATGCTGATGATGGTGTTTTGGTGAAGTTGACGATGGTAATACACAAGGACATCAGTCTTACTCTGAGTGCACATGCCACCGGTGCAGTTCTCCATGGCATGACTTTCGCCCTCGCACATCTTGCCCCGGTGGCGAGGGGCCGGGGCATTACACTCCCTCCATCGCTGCCTCTCACACTGAGCGCTACACAAGGTCCACTCGCTCCACTCCTCCCAGCCGCCGTCCACTGCACATTAGAGGGAAGAACACAAAAACTTTAGGCATGCAGTTGGCACAGTGCACATTGGTGGGATAATAGGTCCATTACTTGTTAGCCTCGTTAGCTTTTTTACTCAAGTGCAAAACTAAAGAAACCAACTTGAGACAACCAACATGTCTTGGCTGGATGAGAAGGTTTGGGGTAAGGAACATTCCTTCAATTTTGTGTTAATTTATGCGTGATATCGGTTGGAGAAATGTGATTACTTGCAGGACAAATCTGTCCTGTGGGCACAATTTGACGGAGCACCGCATCAATGCATATTAGCTCCTGAATTTATATTATGGAGCGAAAGTTAGGCTGTGAAATGTTCCGTTGTTATTTACATTCATTTTATACTCGCAGCATTTAGCAGACGCCCTCATGCATATCAACTTTCTAAAATCAAAACCCCAACCTTTTTTCACCTTGTACCTAATACCTACAGTCCTGTGTAAATGTCTGAGAGCACCCTTTATTTATTTAAATTCCAGTCACAACTGTCATCAAATACAACTCTGTTCATTTTTAGGAGATATTTTTTAGTAGATTAGATAGAAGATAATGCATAGGAAAAGAGAAAGTCAAAGGAAATAAGGAGGAAATACAGACGTTTCCGAAAGCTAAAAAATGGGATTCCTAACAACCACCTGGAAGACCTGGTAGACACCAAAACTGTCAGATAAACAACATTTTAAGCGTTCATCTTTGAGATAGAGGAGAAAATCAAGCTCCACTATTGCTTCAGACCTGAAAACATCCACAGCCATCCTTCAGACAACTCTGAAAAGAGGTGTGACTGTCAAGAAGCCTCACTGTCTATGGGATTACTTGTATCGTGAGAACCAAAAAAGTGCAACCAACTTCTAAGACTGTACTTTGGAGGTGTATAAAAATATCCCTGCAGATTTCTTTGAAAAGCTGCAAGTAAGTCTCCCGAAAAGAGTGGGAGCTGTAATAAAGGTAAAGAATAAACACAACAATAAAACACTTGATATTACATTTGGTCGTTGAGGCTTCTGTGTAATTTTCTGTTAAATGCATGTTTTCAGCTTTGTTCCTGAAATGAATGGAAAATGAAGAACTTTTATACTGGAAATTAAATCAAGTGCCGCAGAGCACCAACATTCAAATCAGAAAGCAGAACTCATACAGTCCTTGTCTCTCCTTTCCAGAGCCTCTGCTCTCAATAAAGAATTGGACCTTGGTGTTTTTTTTTTCTAAGCGATTTAATCTTCATCCATCTTTCATATCATTTCATCAGGGAGCATCATGCTTAGATTAGCCAATACCACTATGCCACGTGCCACGAGACGCCTCCTCACTGCCAAGAAACATCACTTATACGAGGGCCCTGGAGGAAACAATTTTGTGGTTATTGTATTGTGAATTCTTAAACCTCTTCATGGCTGTTCGAGGCTCCTTCCCTGCTCATCTAAATGCAAATTATGTTTATGTGTTACAGCTGACGAGGCGCAGGTTTCAGATGTTAAGCGCACGTGCCGTATGCCGCTCAGTCAACATGTCCTGCTAATATGCGTGATGAACCCAATACATCACTGGATTATGAAATGACTATATCGGGACAAACAGCGCAGTAATTTATATATTTATAAGTTTCAGTAACGACACTAAAAATTACATTTGAATTCATCAGATTTTTTTAAAAGGCCTTTCTCTTTCACTTAGAAACCAATACCATAAATTCTGGTGCGGTTCATTTGAAATATGACTGCAAAACGAACCAAATATATCTATATATATACCGAACATAGAATTAACCGTCTTTTCCTTGCTGATTCCTGCAACCGATGCTGCTTTATCATCTCTTCACGAGCTCTGAAATAGTAATGATTCGGTTTTATGGATGGTTTCAGTTTTGAGGCATAGCTGAGGCATTCTAAAATATTTGATATACAAATATCACTGCATATATAGATTATATTACATATCAATGGGGCACGTTTTCAACGGTTAATGAAATCAGACACTGACGGTTACAGTGATTTCTCAGCTTCACATTGTGGGAAAACCACAACATTGCGAGGCTTCTTATGACTTATTGCTCTACAATATCACAAGACGTCCATAAAACTAGCCGTTTGTAACCCATGAGCTCAGTTAGGACAGAATACAGCATGATTCAGAAATTTTACTGGACATTTTCCCCGTTATTTTCACCAAATATACGTTCTAAAATCTGCCCATGTGGCATTTTTGTCTTTTGGTTCGATGTCAAATATGTCCGTCTAAATGTTAAGAGAATCAGTGTCACTCGTTTAACTCGTTTTACAACAGTGGCTGACGAATCTCTGTGTTAACCCAGGTTTAGATACTCAAGCTGTTATTAATCATATATTATAATCATATATTAAGATAAACAGCCAAATATCCTCAAATTGGAGGAAAGTTAAGCATAGAAGTGGCTGTTATGGCAATGAATATTTCTTTCACAGAATAATGAAATCGTTTTTAGTGTGTTCATTGTATTATTACATGTTATATATCATCGCTGTCCAAAGAAAAACAAGCATCTCCAAACCCATTACTTTAAAGAAGAGGGCAAAACATTCTTAACTTTCAGTGTAAGTTAATGTAACAAGACTTTATTTCAAGCAATTTTTAGAGCATTTCTATTGGTCCATTCATAATGAAATGTTCACACAAAGTAAAGTGGCAAATGCTGAGCTCAAATTATGCAAACTGCAAAAAAAAACAAAAAAAAACGGAGATTTGACTTTCTGGACAGCAAAGATTTAGATAGATGTAGATTTTTTTTAATAAAACCATTTAACATACCTAAGAAAACCTATTCTTGTAGATTAACAGTGGCTTATTATTCCTGTGATGTACTTTCACTTTTGATAAGAACCCCATGCTGTGTCATTATCGCTTTTTAATCCAAACCCCACGTGTAAGCACATTGGTTTCTCTGGGTCCAGCAACAGTGATGCTACATGTTGTTTTTATATCCAAATTTCTAAAGTTATCTGTCCAATATATGCATCCTATACACTCATGTTAACACGTATGACTGTTAGATATAGCTAAAATTTGATAAAGTCTTTAATGCTAACAATAACTAATAGCTGAGGACCAGGCTCTGAGACCATGGCAGTTGACCAGAATGGGCCGTATCCTGTCAACACTGTTGCCATTGCCATCATGGTAGTGCTTGTTGGAGCAAAAAGTGCACTATATTCTTCACATTTATGTAGTTTATTTATTTTCTCTTCTGAAGAGCAATATTTTCCACTTGATTGATGTTGTAAAAGACAAGAAATAGTTGCCATGTCATACTTTTTAATGTCTTGGGAGGGGTCCACCTTCGCCAGAAGCTCGGGCCTGATTGGTCCAAAAACTGTTTATGATCCACAGACATAACCTGCACTAGAGAGGGTTAGGGATGCAGCAAAAGTTGCCATGGCGATGCATCCCAGTAAAAAGTGATGCACAAGGAATATTTCACCCATGTCTGAGGAAAAGGTTGAAATGTTTGATGAAACGGCTGCTAAATGTTTTGTGGATGCAGCAGATGGAAGCAAATTTCCTCTCTGAACCAGACTTGATCCAAAATGTCACCAAGTTTTGTGTCTGAAGCCGAGCCAGGCCCGACAAAATTCTGTCTGAACCTGACCTGACCCAAAACACCATCAGGCTTAGAGTCCAAATCCCAGACTTGAAAATGACACAACCCAAAACATGGCATCAAGTTTTGAGTCTTAACTGAATTCAACCCAAAATGTCATCAAAATTTTAGTCTGAACCCAACAAAATTCTGTTTGAAGCTGACTTGACCCAAAACAAGTTATCAAGTTTTGAGTCTGACCCAACTGACCCCAAAATTTCAACAAGTTTTAAGTGTGAACCCAACTGGGGCCCAACAAAATTTTGTCAAAATGCTGTCAAAAGTTTAGGCTGAACCTGACAAAATTCTGTTTGAAATCGACCCAAAACAGGTTATCAAGTTTAAATCCGAACTCAATTGGGCTCTAAAAAATCCAGGTTAGACCTGACTTTGAGTCCAAACCTGACCCAAGCCCAAAAGAATTCTGTCTGTACCTGACTTCACCTGAAATGTCATCAAGATTAGAGTACAAAACTGTCCCAAGTATCCACAACTGACCTTAACTAACTCATTACCCAAACTGCTGAATAAAACCTGATATTTCTAATGATATCAATTTACCTGCCTGACCAAAACAATCCTGCTATGCAAAACAGCCTCTAATGTCTAATGGATAATCAAGCCACGACTTTACTGAGAAAAAAGGCAACAAAAACAAAATAAACATGTTTATAGTGAGCCACATGTTGCAGGCAATTAATATTTCACCCATGTCTGAGGAAAAGGCTGAAATGTTTGATGAAACCGCTGCTAAATGTTTTCTGGACGCAACAGAGGGAAGCTAATGAATGCCAGCAGCGTCAACAATCAAATCATTGCCATTGTTGTCTGAGGCCATTTTGAAAAGTGAACAAACCAGCAAAACTCTCTATTAGCTTGGCTCTTATCTAAAGTCTGGAAAACAACAGCAAAGTGCCTCTTTCATTAGTGATAAAAAAAAAGAGCCGTAATCACGGTAATCTTTTAACTTCAGAAAGCACCGAGCCCAAGGTTAAATTGCTTAATTCCAAAAGCCGTCAATAAAATAACACACCCTGAAAAACGCTCTGCCTCGTTTAAGAATCAGCTTTGCTCTCGATTGGTTAGTAATTCAAATAAGCCATGCGCGATGCACTCAGACGAAGCAGCTCATATAGAAATATGAGTTTTAAGCTGCTTTCTCGGAGAAAGCCGAAGCAATTAAATCAGCAGGTTATTGCCTCGCAGTGCTGCTCGGCATCGGAGAGTGAGGTGATTATTAAAATAAAGAAGAGAAGTGGGTCACTGCCAGGTTCATAGGCGAGTGGAAACCCCTACCTAGTTAGCCGGGTCCACTCGAAGGCACCTTTACAAACTCATTTACACACTGTGGGGGCAGGACATGGCCAGGGGCAGGACATGGCCAGGTGCAGACGGCTCGTCAGACAATACTACTTCCTTCCTTGGGGCTATAGCACAGTACATGCTCATTACAGCATGTTAACTGGCAACATTACCTTTTGTTTGTAGCCATATTAGCGCTGGGAGGGTGAACCATGCCTTTAATTTTACTTATGCCTTTAAGGAGTTTATTGAACTCAGTGTGTGGCTTATATGATCACACAGCTTCTCATTTTATAAATGTAATTTAAAAAGTTAATGATCGGAGCTTCGATCAGGCCTGAGAAATTGGTCGGAACAGCCCAAGAACCTGTCTGAGCCCAACCTGATCCATCGCACAGCAACATGTTTTGTGTCCGAACCCGGCCCGACTTACAGCATCCTGGCTCAACCCAAAACATGGCACCGAGTTTTGAGTACAAACCTGACCTGGGTCTGGCAAAATTTCATCTGAACTTGACTCGAACCAGAATATATTCTCAAATCTTGAGTCTGAATCCGACACTGGCCTGATAAAATTTTTCGAAACTCAACTAGACCAAAAACATCAAGTTCCCAAACCAAGACCCAAAATATCATCCTAAAAAAATTCTGTCTGAACACGACTCAAACCAAAACATCACGTACTGAGTCTGAACCAGACCTGTGCCTGATTCTGGCTGAACCTGACTTGAAAGAAAACATCAACAAGTTTTAACTCTAAAAACCCACCTGACCCAAAAAGTGGCACCAACAAAACCCAACTTGACCCAACTTGACCCAAATCTGAGTCTGAAAGTCTGAAACTCAAATCAACCCAAAAACTGACCCAGGCCTAAAAAAATACTGTCTGAACCCAATTCGACTCAAAACATGTCCCGGAACCAACAAAATTCTGTCTGAACCCAGTTCGACCCAAAGCCCAACAAAATTCTGTCTGAACCCAACTTGACCCAAAACCTGACACTGGCCCAACAAAATTCTGTCTGAATTCAACTTGACCCAAAACCTGACACTGGCCCAACAAAATTTTGTCTGAACCCAACTCAACCCAAAACCTGACCCAGGCCCAAAAAAAACCTGTCTAAACCCAACTCGGCCCAAAACCCGACACTGACCCAACAAAATATTGTCCAATTTGACCCAAAGCCCGACCGAGACCCGACAAAGTTTTGCCTGACCGGGGCCCAAAAAAAAATTCTGTCTAAACCCAACTTCACCCCAAACTCGATCCAGGCCCAACTGTCTCAGTTCAACAAGATCCAAAGCATGTTATCAACTTTTGAGTCAGAAACTGGCCCGAATTTTAATACAAATTTTGTCCAAAAGTGACCTAAAGTGAACTAATGACAGCAACGCTTAAATTATCGCATAACGTTGTAGCTACAGGTAGAACTTACTCAGGTTCTTAGGGTTCTCCTACCGTGGAAAAAACAACTGTGTATGAGAAGCAATTCAAATTCTACAGAGAGAGGAAGTAAGAATGATCTTTAATTATATTCCACGCCTTCTTAAGCACATTGCTATTAAAAAACTCACTTAGCTGTTTGTGTGGCTTTCCAATCACTTTCCCAGCGAGCTTACTCTTGTTTGTTCAATTAGAGCTACCAAACCAAGCTGACACATTAAAAAACAAAAGATTTTTCCTTCCAATCTTGTACATCATCTCTAGAATGTTCTATCTGGCCCCGGAGCTCTTGTTTCTTCATTAAAAACAATTTCCATTATTTGGCAGATACACTTATCCTGAGCAATTTACGGTTTAATTATGTCACAGAGGTAGTGTTCGGAGTTGCCTAAGGACTCTTGGTGTAGCATGGGGTACTTTTCCAAGTGGGGAACCAAACCCCAGTGTGTCACGTGAAGAGGAATGGTTTTATCCACTGTGCTATACCAATATTAGCCTCGCAACTGCAGTGCAAACTAAACAAGCAAACTTTAGACATCTGGTTGCTTCTGGTTGCTGGCTCACCTCTTTTACCACTAGCCTACCTGCCATCCCACAAAAACCCTGATTTCTTCGCTAAGAAATGTGGTTCGCTTAGAGTAGGCTATCGTCTCCAAGCAACCATTGACTGCAGAAGGAGGAAAATAACATTTTAAATGTCAGAAAATAATAAGAATTTCACAACAGAACAGTGTTTAATGCTGAAACCTTCACCTTATAAGTCGTTTTCCTCACCAAATTACCATTGCAATGACAAGCTAATTTCCACAGTGTTGTAGGTCCCTCTTCCAGACCAAGCCTGAATCTCAAACAGCTCTCTACTCCTCCGTAACACTTAAAATAAAGGCTTCTGAACCCAAACAGTGCTTAATATGTCTTATTATTTGGGATTTGCACAATCCCACTATACATATAACACACTATTTGGGTATAGAAGCCAAAATATCATATTTAGACTGGGTTTAATACTACAAGAATCAGATCTAAGCAAAAAACATAGGCATTTAGAGTGTATAAGACGAGTTTTAAAGTGAATCCTTTAGCAAATTCCAGTTTACTTTGCTAGTAATCTTTTAGCCTTAGCCTTAATCTAGTTCTAGTTGCTTAGAAAATAAGTTATCCCTCAATTTAAAGGTGCAATATGCAATTTTATTTTTGTTAAAACTGAAAGAAGTAGCATTACTGCCTCTTTACAGATTAATGTAAGAAGGTCCTGCTCGACGTTTAGGTCTCAAATGCAAAACAATACTGTATTAATAAAGATTTGATGATAATAGTCGACAATTCACTCATATCCTCAGAAAACATGTCTTTCACCAAGTCTTGACTGAGTTCTCTTTGAATACTCTTTCAGTGCACTCGCCATGATCAGATTCATCCACTCGGGAAAGGGATCCAGAGCACAACCAACGTTGCAAAATGTTTATGTTGCATGCCAGATCTTACATAGTGCAGCTTTAAACACAACCGGGTTTTTACTTTGTCTGTGGGTACACTTGGTGGTCCATGCAACAACAGTCCATCTATGGCACTGTGTTGTTTAGTGACTGCAGAATTCAGCTGCTGTGAGGCAGTCAAAGGTGTGCGTCTATGAAGTTTTACACTATGGCTTAAACGGAACTGTCGTTTTTTTATAAGACTCATTTTACACTTTAAGAGGTTATAACAGCACTGACCCGGACACAGGGCGTTGCAGGTGCTCTTCTGCACGGACATCCCCTCACAGAACGCCCCTCCGTTCAGGGGAGCCGGGTTAGTGCAGGTCCGAGAGCGCTTCTGTACCCCCCTGCCGCAGTCCACGCTGCAAGGGGACCAATCAGTCCACAGAGACCAGCCTCCATTCACTAGAAAGACAGAGTGAAAGAGCAGCAGCAGATGAATTTATCTTTATTCTCAATAAAGATGAGGCCACGTCGCAAGTATGACCCTGTAATGTAAATTATAGATTGACAGCAAATCACAATGGTATTTGTTCACAATTATACTTTGAACAGCCCCAAGTTCACACATCCTCTACTCAAAACACTAAATGTGGCATTTTCTGCCAATTTTAGTGCACAATTTCTTTTTATTTGCTGAGTTTAACATATTGGGAAAAAATAAAACATAAAGTATAAAATGAGCCATAAGTTTTGCACACAGAACACTTTATGTTTACTTTTTCCCAATATGTGAAATTCAATAAATAAACAGTAATTGTGCATTAAGACGTGCAGACGTTCTCTGAACAATATGTGTTAACTTACTTTCACTTCAATCAACACAACATGGAATTTGACTGTTGCTCACAACTGTAGTGAATAAAAAAGTGAAAAAGTAAATCACTAGAATGTCTTTAATGTCCTCACAACACTAGCATGGATGCTAGTTAAACCACAGTAAAAAAAACTGATCTTGTTCCTGAGATGGGTTCATTGTTTGAATTTCTTAAATTATTTCCAATTTGCTTAAAGTTTTAAGAGTTACAAGGGTCAATGCATTTTGATGGACAATCACAGGAAACCAAGAATGAATATGACCAGGGACCTGAACTGGTAAAGCAAACAGGTCATGCTGATTTCATAACAAGACTTTGTGTCTACACTTTCAGATAAAAAGGTTCTGTGCAGGTACACTTTTCATTTATCAAGATACCAACAATGTAAACGTTCATGTAAATGGTACAACAGTGGCTTTAAGGTCCAACTGTGTACCTTAAATAAATGTTTCCCAGTGAAAAGTTACGTATTTGCACATTTTCATGTTTAAAACTAGAACAATAAAATAAAAAGCCTGGAGACGAGACGGGGTGTGTGGAGTCAACACCACCTGAAAAATGTAACTATAATGGAAAATGGAAAAATTATGCTCCCTAACTAAAGGTACTGAAGACGCACTCTTGGGGGTACCACCCCAGTGGCAGTTTAGTACCTTTAAGTGGTAAGGAGGCCTCAACCACTCTGAGAGTGTCATTAAACTGCGGTGAGATCCACCGTTAACAAGGGTACGCCCTCTCTAAACCCCGCCCTGATTACTCTAGTCTATGCTCTTTTAATGTCTGGGGTACAATCACTAACACAAGCAAAACAAGGTAGCGAAATGAACAGAACTGTTTCTTTTCTGAGAGCTAATGTTCATTTTTACTGAGGTTTTGGGGGACTTTTTAGCCATGCTAACTTATGTTACATCCATGTGCTAACGACGAGCTTGTAGTCCATCTGACAGTGTTGACGAGTGCATCATCGCGCCCTAGTGTGAGCTCCGCCTTCACGAGGTGCTGGATTGGTTTAGAAATGTCACTCCGAGTTGTTTCCACCATAATAAGTCTACATTCCCACCTACATTTAGCTCAGAATTACTCATGGCTGTCCACAGACATTCTCATTAGGAGATCATATCTGGCCCCCATGAAATTAGTTTGAACACCCCCCATTAAGTCTTGTTCTGTTCATTTTCTGAGTGAAAATGAGTTTCCGTATCCTCTACAGAGAACACACTTAAATACAACATTTTCCTGCCAGTTTTTGTGCACTTGCTTGAATTTAACACACTGAAAAAAATTTGGCATTACATATATGTTCCATAGACATGCATTAAAATGTGCACAGGTGTGTTCTCTGTAGATGATGTGTTAACTTATAAGACCAGGGGCACCTAAACTTTAGTTAATTAACTAGTGTTAATTAACATATTTGCATTTTGGTTAACTTGAAAACGAAAAAGCAAAGTGGGAAACGAAAAGTAAATCACCAGCAGGTGGCGCCTGTGTTCATTTGCATTTGCCTTTTTATTCTGACACTTAAAACTGAATCGCAAACTGTCACTCTGTTGATTTTTCAGTTGCATTTTCATTTTGTCAGATGTGCAGCCGATTGCTATGACAGAGGAATAAGAACGTAAACACTGCATTTTGTTTTTACGCATTTCATGAAGAAAAAGCAAAGCCAACGTGAAGCTCGCATTTTCTTTTCTCCGTTAGCTTTTCCATTTTATGGCCATGAAATACCAGAATAATGACTAAAATGAAATGACAAACAGCTGTTTTAAATGTATTTTTATTTTTGTCACATATGACTCGTGCTTATGTGAAAAATAATAAATAATTTATTTTGTTATTTAATTTCATTTTCAAATTTTGGCAGGATATTTGCCCAGATCTTCGGAAAAAGAAATGGCAAAAAGAGGTTTGCATTTAAATTTGATTGTATTAACTATAATTTCTTTTTTGGCTGGATTTGCCTCCCATAAAACTTTTGCATTCAACAGATCAAAGTTTCCATTTTGCAGATTGAAGGTTTTCTAACCACGGAAACGTCTGATATCATGACTTTCCCTCCAGCATGGCTTATAAAGTTACTGGTGAAAACTACCAGCGCTGTTTGAACTGAGCAGATCTACATCAATACTTTTAAAAACTCTTACGTTTATTGTTTATTACTGATCTCTACAAAGGCCTTGGAAGCCAACCGAGGAGAGACAGAGAGAGAGATTGAGAGAAAAGACAGATAAAAGAGAGATGAAATGACAAAGCAAGCAAAAGAATGGAAAATGGAGGAAGTGGAGGAAGCTGCCGGTCGTGTGATGCTCGGCTTGTTCCTCTGAAGAACACACCAGCTTCAGAAGTTCACAGAAGCTCCACTATAGGATCTCTTTCTCCTGGCCTGGCTTTGATAAGTCACAGCTGCACAAGGAGCCCGGCACGCCTCGAATGCTGCCAGCATCCTTCTGAACACAACAGAAGTTTGCAGCGTGGAGCTACTGTAGTTGAAGGACTACGCGGGATGAATTATTAATAAGCGGCGCTTGTTTAAATGGGATTAAGATAGAGGAGCTTACACCTCCCCGCTTATAAAGACATATTGATTTTTAATGCTCTGCTGTAATTGAGTCTCTGGATAATACCGTTCATGATTAAGATTACGGGGCTTTCACAGAGAAAACCATAAACAACAGGTCCTCCACAATCTTTGATATTCCGATTCTTTAGAAGGTCGTACTGTCCACTGGGGATATCCAGCTTTTCCGCTTACGTGACTAACAATGAACGACAGCCAGCAGAGACCAGTTAGCATAATGCTAAACGGCCAGCAGCTTTGATTCAGTACTAACCGCATCTCAAATGAATCACATCTTTCAGAGAATTGAGTTTTTATTTAGCACTAAGAAATAAAACAGGTAGAACTGTGACTCGCTAAAGAACCCATGATAGGATATTATCACAATACGAGAACGATTCTCCTACGATATTTCTGGTACACAAAGTATTGTGGCAGGACCTTCTGCTATTTAGTACTTCTGATTGATGAATGAGTTTAACTTCATTTCAATAACCAGTTCAATAAAAGTTTAATACGTGAAAAACAAACTTGCTGATTCAGGAGTTGCACACGTGACAGCTTGTGTTGGTAAAGCTGAGGCTGTATATCTGTTGATATGCTGTATATCTGTTTAACTGTATATCATGTCCGTCTTACCGAAGACGACCACGGTTGCGGTGGCACTGCGTCTCTTGGCCACAATGTTGCTGGCCAGACAGGTGTAGTTGGCCGAGTCGGACAGCCGGGCTTCATTAATGATTAGATTGTGGTCAGCTCGGGTGTCAATGTTGTCATCGCCCAGCGAGCTCACCAGCTCTTCATTCTTCAACCATTCCACCTGAGAAAATTGAGAGAGAAGAGAGAAACAATTAGTCTCAGTGTGAGAAAATACTTAAGCAAATGACTCAGGCAAGTATAAAACAAACAGAACCTAATGTGGGGTAAAACGTAGTATTTTGTGTAGTTAAAGGTTCAGATTCAAGCAACCATAGACATTTTTTTGAGATCTGCCATGAAGAGTTTTTCCTACCTAGAAGGTTTTTTTCATCATAAATATTTTTGATTACTGAGTTGTGTACATAAGTCACAGAATTCACTCCTGTATTATTTTAATCTCCCTCTTGGTGGCTGTAATATAGCACTGCTTTAAAGCATAGAAACGACCCACAGTGAGAACTAGCTAAGCTTAACTGCAGCCTCCACACGACAGGGCTAGTATTTATACCCTGTTACTAAGCACAATGAAAAAAGTTCATGCAATTATAATAAATCTTTATATTTTGAGCCGCAGTATTTCAAAACCTTAGCAAATATGTTATTAATCTGGATTTAAAAATAAATATCGCAATTGCAAAATTCTCCGCAATGCTACTACAGAGACAAAGAGCTATATAAGAAGTCTTCCACCAACTGAGCTGTAAAAGACTCTAGGAGTTTGCAGTAAGCCTGCCTTCTGTATGAACTACCAACAATATATGCTGCCATATGAATTCAAACGGTTCATTTTTGGAAGATTCTTCGAGATTTGATCAAAATATGCTACAGATAGCATGTAAATAAAAATATTTTTATGCATTTATGTTGGAAAGCTTGCCTGGTTCAACCAACACAGAGCTGCACCGAATTAAATGTGTTTTCATCCATTTTCCAGGCTTTTTATCGACTAGCCCCTCAATCTGTTACAACTAATCCCACCTGTGGGGGAAGTTGTAACATTTACACTCACATTTGCGCACAAAACAAAGTGAACGCTTTCATTCGTAGCTTTTAAAACGCCTTAACGGAAAGCGAAACATGTTGGGTTGCACTCCGCTCTCGGCTGCAGCCTGATTCTGTCTGCAAATGAGAAGCTCTAGAATTAAAGAACTGCATGTTTGCCTTTACAAACTGCGCTAATCCGGTTGAGGCTAAGGAGGCTTCTCAGACATGTGACTGGTTTACAAAGGACTAATGAAAAAGCAAACACACACACACACACACACACACACACACACACACACCAAGGTCGAGTGCTACGAGGTAACAATTGCAATTCTCCATCTTCCCTCCTGCAGGAGGAGAGTTCGTCAACTGTGGCAGCCTTCAGCCTCGGCTTGGCTTTTCCGATAACGCCCAGCATTTTAATCACATGCCTTTTAGTTTCATTCATTCTGCCGCTCGGCTCCAGAGTGCTGAGACGCAGTGCTGCAGCTCCGCCCGCTCAGCCCCTATCATCCCCCCGTTACACATCCACAGCCCCTTTCAAACGCCCATTCAAGTCCGCGGTCTAGGCCGACTGCAGCCAGACGCGAGCTTTCAGGCACTGTGATAAAGTCTCAGAATGTGTATAATAATAAATCACAGCTAATGAGCCACGCATGATAACACTAGCGCAATGCTGACCGATGACCCCACAAGCTTTCACTCATTATTAGCACAATTGGCACATTCGGGGAAAGTATTCTTCAAAATAAATAAATACTCTAAGTAAGGGGTTACAGGCTGGGTGGTCGGCCCACTCAGTCTGTCACAAACAAAAAACAGAAATATCTGGTGATTGTTTATTTTGAGAAACACATATTGTAGGTCTATTAAGGTCCAAATTAGACTCTTCTAAATGATTTATTCACTGGGTTTTAGCTGTTTTAACCTATACTGGTGCTTAATTGGAGTTCTGTTATGTGATAAACACTATTAGCTGTATTATTAGCTGAATTAACATACAAACACTTTTGTTAAGACCTTGTTATGTAAATTATTTAGCATTAATTACCGAAAATGGACGTCTTATTAGACTCCTAATGGTTCTAAGTAGTGCCGGGTGAATCTGGAGTTTATTGCTTTAGAGCTAATTAGAGATAATTAGTCACTAATACTTCAAGATGTGTTCCATAATCTAAAGTTTTTGTCATCGCTAATTAGAGGCTAAAAGTCAATTTGCGTCCCATATTTTAAAGCAAAACAATTTATGGGCCATTCTAGCAAATTAGTTCAAATTGCAGTCCCACAGTTAAAAAAAAACAAAAAAACAAAACAAAAAAAAAAACGTATTTATACGGTTGTAATGATTGATCTCTTTCAATCTAAGGCATTAACAGAGACTGTAATAAGCTAAATACATATAAAACAGGTGTCTGTCCCAAATGCTAACCCCTAAATTTACACTTATATAATACTTACATTTAAAAAAAAACAAAATTGTAAAGATATTTTGGATTTCTTTGGAAATGAAGTTAAGATTTTGTTTAATCATGAGTTTGCTTTAAATTTAAAAAAAAGCTGTCCCAGGTTTTCATATTACTACTTAAACAGTTATTAATTACAGCCAAGTTATTAGAAAAATGATATTTGTTTTACATTTGTTAAGTTATTATTGAAAATATGCTGATTTTATGTGTGCACATCTGTTCAAAGCTGTGTTTGCTAGTCCTGTACTGGCCAGTGTTTTTGATCTCTGCTCAAAATAAGCTAAAACTGTCACTACCGAAACAGTCACTACTGAAACGTTTGAAGTTTGGGTAGAGTTATGATTGTTTTAGTAGTGACAAAATGGAATGTTAAATCATTAATTTTAATAAAATAAACAAAATTGAGGTATAGGGTCATTCAAAGGATTTTAGTCTAAAGTCCAAATCAGCTAAAAGTCCGAAATGTGTTTTCAACTCTGACTTTGAAACCAGGTCAGTAGAGTCATTTATATATGTATTGAGTTTAGATGCTGATTGACTTATTGAAAAGCCTCTAATTAGTGATGATTAAACTTATTACTATTATATTAGACTTATTAACCCTTATTAGTTTTTCTGCAATGAAAGCTAACTCCTAAAGTCACCTGACTCCAGAAGTCACCTGACACTGCCTTCAGAACCACTAGGAATTATACGCTAATAAGACGGCAATCATTTTATGTTCAAATCATAGTTTTCCAATGACGTCACACGTCGCGCTGCCAACCATTTGGGTAGGCAACTGCAAGTTCGTGTGATAGTGCACAGGTGATTTGCCATGAGATAAAGCCATGACCAATCCAGCAAAGGCAGGAACACAAGATTTTTCCACACTGTCATTGTATTTTGGCCAATCAAAACTGTTATGCTCTCTGCTGAGCTCCGCCTTCTTTCCTCAGCCCTTCAATCACTGCTTATCAACCATTGATATCCACCATTGCCTCAAGCCTTCAGTTCATTAACAGCAACCCTATGTTTAAATTTGAAGCTCCAGCTGTGGTTAATAGACGTGACGTTATGTGGGCACATTTAAATGTCCCACAGAGTACAAAAAAACATAAAAAAATGTCATCAACAGTTTTTGCCGTTTAACGTTATCATCAGCGGATTTCTCTGAATTTACAACTTAAAACGTTCTTTTACTACAAAAGCTGACATGAAAATGTCAGCACCTGTTTTTGCTCATCTTTGCATATCTCAGCTGTCTGTTTTTATCACAGTCACATCATCTTTTTTGGGTCCACCCGCCTTGGCAGTATGCTTTAGCCTAGGATGTCTGTTAGGTTTTAAAGTTTGCTGTGTTTTTCCTTTCCTCGTGGTTGTACATCTCTGTGCAGTGTCAACTTAGTTATTTCACCTTCGTTGGACAAGCATGCCTGTGGAAACTGTGCCTTTGGTGAGTTTATTTGTATCCAGTATACTGATTGAGTGGACACGTTGGAATAGGTAGGGTGACGACTACACTGATGTCTGGACTAAGCTACTGCCTGATGTTATGACACTGCAAGACATTAGTGGGTTAGGAAATTGCATCTCCAAGTAGGCCTACCCACTTTTCCACAGGACAACCCAAACATGTATTTCTGCCTATGCCACTGGCTTTGCTGTTCATTAAAAATGTCCAAGACAGCTTAGTGGTGCGTTCATGCAAAACGAAACCGCTAAAGATTTTGGTCCCACTTTATATTAAGTGTCCCTAATTACTGTATAATTACACATGAACAACATATGCAACAACATTGTAACTACTGATGTTTTAGTCAATGTTACAGATGGAATACAGAAGTTGAGCCTATGTAATTACACATGTGTATCTTCTATAGAGGAGGTTTTCTGTAGTGTAGTGTTAAAGTTACACTTTAAAATAAGTGGACAGTTCCTATGTAGTTGTTATGCTAGTTGTTATAAATGCTAGTTAAATGTAAGTTATTACATACTTCCTTTTACTGCTGGAAAAAAAAACTGAAAAAACTGCTGTTACAATGTAATTACGTTTATGTTATTACCATTGTGTAATTACATGAGAGATAATAGGCTGTTACTATTAAGACACACTTGTGTAATTACATAAGGTGTACTTCTGTAATCCATCTGTAACAGTAACTAAATCATTAGTAGTTACATTGTTGTTGCATATGTTGTTCACATGTAACTACACAGTTATTAGAGACACTTAATATAAAGTGGGACCAAGATTTTCTGTGACATTTGTAAAATATCTCTAAGCTGTAAGTAACAAGGATGTCCATTATGTGTATGAGGCGCCCGACTAAACCAAAGCCAAGCCAATCTGCGCACCTGTTCTCTGGCACTGTGCACGGACACGCCCACCTTGACTTTCAAATTTACAAAACGTGTACTCTGATTGGCTGTGGCTGTCTAACCAAAGCCACTATACTGTACACTATAGGTTGATGTAGAAAGCAAACTATCCAAAATGACATTCTTGGGCTTTTGTTTTAAAGCTATCGCTACAGTTTCAATGGGAAAAAAAGCAGCTCTTTAGCTGACATACAGCTTTAAACAAAGCATGGTATTTCGTCTCACTGGCTGGATCTACAGGGTTAACAAATGAACTGCTTTTTAGCTCAAATAAACAAACACTGCTCACTGCTGCCCTCTAAAGACGTTA